AAGAAACATAGAGAAAAGTATCTATTTTCGCTACACTATGTTGTTTGTTTTGTAGTTTAAATGTTTTGTGTGTGTGTGTGTGTTTTATGTGTATATGTGCTTAAACTATGATACAAACAACATACATATGTGAAAAAATAAATGAACATAAGAATTTGTTGGACAGATGCTAATATATAATGCAGAAAAAATAGGCCAAAAGACAGGGCCACTTAGATGTGGTCATTACAACCAAGAATAGTGAGGATCTTTTTTTTTTAATTTAGAAAAGTGTCTGAGTATCCGATTCATGGATGATATGAACAGGCACAACCAGTGGTGTTTGCCAGGATGAATGTGATAGGGACATGTGTAAATTAAATGCACAAACATATGCTTTGACAAATGTTTCTATATAGCTGTCTAAGACCACCGTAGGTAGAGAACTTTTGCCTGGCGGTTCTCCATCAAACAGCCCGAGCTAGAGGTGTGCTACACAGGTTGGCCAAAAACATTCCATCAAAGATCATACTAGGCCTGATTTACCGGTCCACTTGGGGTAGGTGTAGTTTCCGTTGATTTCAGTGACTTAATGTCTCTTTGTTAGATCCCATGAGAGAATTTGGCTCCTATTTATCACCTGTAATCACTAGAGTATGCATTCTTCTTTCTTCCTTGTATATGAAAAGCTGTAAAAAAATACTGTCCTCAGCTACACCCCTGCAACTCTGCTGATTTCACTTTTCTCAGGATAGTTTAATTCAGTTTTAGTGGTGTTTGCTGGATGTAAATGAGGGAAGAATTTGGCCTTTCTGTATTCATTATCAAGCCTTGCTTTGACAATTCATTATATCAGGTCTTTTTAAAGGTGGCTTAGTTTCACACACAGGTCCCCACTGGTCCCTCGTCTACTGCTTTTGAAAATAGTACTAGACACAACAACCGTTCTGGGCTGGCTTAACTCAGTGTGCTGCATAGAAAAGCAGCATTTGAACAAGTTCAGGATATCTGTCCTCCCAGATTCACTTACAAAGCAGTACAGAATTGGGTCAGTAATACAGTTCAAACTTGTTAAAGCCAGTATGATCCTGTAAATCGCATACATATAAGGGGAGTCTTCAATGCTGCGAATGAGCAGCACAGTATGGTAGGGGGTGAAGCAACCAATGAAAGTAACAGTGATGCTCAGTAACAGCTTCTTGATTTTCCTTTTTTCTCTGTCCTCCGTGGCTTGATTACGTCTTACAACTTGGTAAATTTTGTAGTAGCAAAACAGAATGATTGTCAAAGGGATTGTGTATCCTGTAATTATCCTGAATATGTTTAATTTGACTTGCCAAAGTTCCATGGGGTATTTATCATAACATATTGTATAATTCCTGGACATGCAAACTTTAGTGAACGTTTCTTTATGGGTCAGAACTGAGGAATTGAAGATGGTTTCTAAAGCCCAAAAAAATATGCTGATGATCAAAGCGCATCTTCTTGAGCGCAGATGTTGGAACCTCAGTGGGTAAACTAAGGCTAGGTACCTGTCAGCAGAGATGCAGGTGAGAAAAGCAGCACTGGTGTAAAAATTTGTTTGTATAATGAAGGCAGAAATCTGGCACAGCAAGGAAGAGAACTGCCAGTTGTCTCCCCTTGATGTGTAGTCGATCCACAGAGGTAGAATCAGACAGTAGAAGAGGTCAGCCAGGGATAAACTGAAGAGGTAGATTGCTAACTCATTTTTCTTCCTCACCTGCATGCAGGATACATAGAGGGATATACAATTGACAGGAATACCGATCACAATCACAATGCTGTAAACAACAGGAAACAAATACTTATCCACATGGTTATTTATACTGCATGTAGTATTATTATCCATTGTTCTCCTGAGAACAATCCTTGGGCTAATTCCAGTCTGGGTACAGAAAAAGAAACTCTCATGGGTCACCTTCTGCTAATTCTCCAGAACCCAAAGAAAAAGCTTCCATCCAGAACACTGAAATTTCTTTCTGTTACAAGAAAAAAAAATTAAATGTCTTTTGATTATCATTCAGTTAGCCTGATATATCAACCAATACAAAACTAAAGGGGGAATCTTGATTTTCCACTCTGGCAATAGCCATGGGTTTGTGATTTAGAGCTGTCTAATTCTGGCATAAATTATAGTTATACAGAGACTGCCCTAATTTATGCTAGTGAAGATTTTCTCTGACAGCCTCTCTCTCTTCTCTTCAAAGCATATGTTTGTGCATTGTCCATGTCTCACCCTCAGATCAAGCCCAACATACCTTTCTTCCTCTGGTACTGGGAACTGAGGCTGAAGGCTCCACCCCCGGTGGAAAGTGGTTTTCTGCATTTTTCCCTGGCCACTTCAAAGCTACTTTGTACATT